GAGAAAAAATAGGGGGAAAAGTTTTTTTTTTTAAAAAAGAGGTGGTTTTTTTAAAAAAAAATACTTTTTATTTTTTTTCACTTCACCATGACGGTTTCTTAAAGTCATTGTATATAAATAGAAAATAAGAGGAAATTGCTGAAAAACACAAAAATCGGTGAGAAAAAACTATTTTTTTTTTTGAAAAATTAAAAAAATAACAAATTTGGAAATGCAAGTCCTTGAAAAGTAATTTTTTTTACTATTATAAAGAAAACTTTTCTGAGCTCCAAAAGTTGCAAGAAAAAGCTCAACCTCAGCACAGAAATCTCCAAGATATAAAAGCTGTTTTAGTTAGTAATTCTTTAATCCTGATAAAAGTGCTAGTTCCACTGGCAGATTATTTCACTTAAGGAAAAAATGTCTTGTTTTAAGTGAAATAATCTGCCAGTGGAACTAGCACTTTTATCAGGATTAAAGTGTTATTGATTTAAAACAAGCTCCTATATCTTTCTGAAAAGTTACTTGTAAGTTAGTTTTAAGTTAATGAAACTAGACAAAAGTCACTTGGTAATATTTTGTTTTTTTGCAGTGCTTGTCAGATGTAAAAACCTGACAGATCTTTCTGTAATTTGCTCAGTCTATAAACTGTTTCCCAGTTGAGTTAATAATTCAGCCTCCAGTGATGCAGGATGTCTCCAGAGTCGGTTATCCATATACGTTACCATAGTAACCGCCTGAAGTAGGCTGTGAAATTTGTTTGTTTCTGTGTCTTCTTGACCTTTGCCCCCGTCAGAGTCGTCATCATCATCGGTCTTGTCATTTCGTCTGGCCGCCCTTGTGCTGTCACTGCGTCCGCTGACAGACTGGAGGCTGAAACGGGCCGACACCAGCTGACCGAACGCTGACTCAGCGTGTCAGTGACTGTTTCGTCTCCCGGCTCTTCCCCCATGACCTCTGACCCAGATTTTAAACTTCCCCTTTATCTGAAGACAGCCTCTGTTCCCATAATGTAGCTGTTGAATCACTTTTATTTCAGGTGGATCTGTCTCTGTGCAGCTCTACACTGCAAAACACTAAATCTTACCAAGTAATTTTGGTCTAGTTTCTAACGCAAATGTGTTGGTGGACTTGAATTAAAGCAAAGCTAACATTTCAGCAAGATATAGAAGCTTGGTTTAAGTAAATAATTATTGATGAAAAAGTTCTAGTTTAATTAACAGAATATTTCACTTTTTACTTGAAGAAGACTCTTATTATAAGTAAAATAATCTGGTAGTGGAGCTAGTATTTTTACATCAATATTAAGGAACTACTTACTTCACATAAGATCCTATTTCTAGCTAAAAAGTTACTTGTCAGGTAATTTGGTCTAAGGGGGACGATTAGGGCCACTGAAGAAAAGAAAAATACTTTTTTCTCAGAATTTTGAGAAAAAAAATTCAGAATCTTATGTGATCAAAAATCAGAATTCTTTATTTCTTTTAGTGGCAATAATCATCTTCTGTATTAGTCTTATTTAATTGTCCTAAGATAGTTGCACAAGACACTGGATTCAAAATACTAAGATTTTGTGTTTTGGCTCTGAAGGGACAGGAACACAAAAGTATATCAGCAAACTACTAAATAAATAGAGAAGATAACCATTAGTTTGTTAATACTTCACATTTTTGTCATTACATTTGGGTTCCTGCTGCTTCTAAAATCAACCAAAGCACTTAAAAAACATACCCAGACAGTCTTTGTCAATAAGTTTATGTCTTTTGGTGTCTGGAAAATGAGCCATTTCCTAAACCTCTGGAATGTAAAGTCACAAACCGTTACCTAGCAACCCCAGCGGAACCCAGCCGTCGCCTAGCAACCCAAACTGAGTTCCAGAATGTTTGGTCAGCTGGTTTTACCTCTTTATGCGCTGTAATAAGAGTCTTGTTGACTCACGATCCAGAAACCTCTTGGTGTGTTCTCCACTTCTGCTCTTCAAACAAACAGATATATGATTTCAGATCTGTTTGCAGCCATTTTTTATGTGCGAGTGTAAACATTGAGTTGGGGGGCGTGGTCTGCAGCAGATTATTTGATCCCACTGACCATATCTGGTCAAGGGAACCAATATATTTGGTTTCATTTGGTTGATCAAATATATTGGTAGAACACTGTTCATATGTTTAATGGATTTAAAGTGGCAGAGTCCCTGAAACAGCCTAAAATCTTATTGTCTCTGAATGACTTTGTACCAAAAAATGTGATGAACATTATAGATCGTAGACCGATCCTAACCTGTTCAAAGAAGCGAAATATTCCACCTTTAATAATAAGGGGTTAGCCTTGAAGGACAGATGAAGGTTAGTTGGTTGTTTCTGGTGGTTCTGTGATGGAGCGGGTCTTTTGGCCCCGCTGCGTCTCAGATGCCGAAATCTGTCCTGCTGGCTCAGTTGTCAGCTGTGATCTGACGGCCGTGTCTCAGCTGCTGTGGGCTGGGCCTTTAATGGACAGGAGTGATCCTTAACACCCCCAACACACACACACACACACACACACGTTAAAAAAAGCAACACAACACTGCTGGTCGGTGGCATCGCTCCCAGATAATGTTTCATGTCCCTCATTCAGGCATCGACCATCCAGGACTCAAACACACTGGAGTCTCCATCCTTTGGATTAAAACAGGAATAATTTACTGAACAAACTCGGATGAGTTTCTAATCTTCCCTCATTTTGTCTCTTTTCCCTCTTTTTTTGTCTCTTCTTTAGCCAATGAGAAGATTGATGATATCAATGGGTGTCCCAAAAGCCGTTCTCAGATGGTAAGTGACCTCCAAACTTTGTTTTCACTGCAAAAACACAAAATCTTACCAAGTATTTATGGTCTATTTTTTAGTGCAAATATCTCAGTGCACTTGAATAAAGACAAAACTCTTACAAGTAACTTTTCAGGAACATATGGACTCTTTTGCAGCATGAACTTACGCACACCCATCTCCATGCTGGAGGGCAAAAACCTGCTTGCCGATTGTGACTACCATTATTGGTTTTAGCTATTTAGTTGTGAATATTACACACTAAATCTTAAATGTACATTTGAAATATAACAGGACAAACAACACCGTGCTTTGCTACTAATTGTCAAGACTACAACAACTGGATAACAAGGGAAAAAGTTTTAATTAAGAAGGAAAATAGAGACGGAGAGGGAAGTAGTTGTAGTTGTGATATGCTAGCTTGACTTTGACAACCTTAACATGTAGATGTGATGTGTAATTCTGTGTGTTTCGGTTCAGTTAAAAAATAAAAATGCGACCAGAACAATGAACTCTGACAGGCCATCAATAGATCAGGTGTTTATATTAGCTAATCAACCACCGCTCTGTTAGCCTAGCTAATAGCAGCTGTAGCTAATCAACCACCGCTCTGTTAGCTTAGCTAATAGCAGCTGTAGCTAATCAACCACCGCTCTGTTAGCTTAGCTAATAGCAGCTGTAGCTAATCAACCACCACTCTGTTAGCCTAGCTAATAGCAGCTGTAGCTAATCTACCACTACTCTGTTAGCTTAGCTAATAGCAGCTGTAGCTAATCAACCACCGCTCTGTTAGCCTAGCTAATAGCAGCTGTAGCTAATCTACCACCGCTCTGTTAGCCTAGCTAATAGCAGCTGTAGCTAATCTACCACCGCTCTGTTACCTTAGCTAATAGCAGCGGTAGCTAATCAACCACAGCGATCACTTATTAATAATCGCAAAGCCTGAAAACATCAGACTGTAACAGACTGAATGCTCTGTTCTCGGTGTGGGAAATGTTTGAGTGTTTTTTAGTGTTGAATCCTGACACACTTTGTGGCGTTGTTGTGAGTTGCTATGGCAACGAGTCTGCATGCAGCATAACCAGCACAGACGGTGAGAAGAAAAGTAGTTTTGAGTTGTTCTTTAATGGGTTTTCTACGCTATTTTTCCCTTTGCTGTGGTGCACTGCACTGAATTAATCATCTCCAGGTTTCATTGAGTTAAATGGACTGTTCTGCTGCGGCAGCGCGGCTACGGATGGCATTTTTTCGTCCCCAAGCGTTGTACGGATGTGTGAATTTCCCAGATGCAAACAATAGAGCGCTGGGAGTCCATGTGAGGTTTTATTACGTTAATAATTCCCTAATATTGATGGAGAAAATAGTAGTTCCACTGCTGATTATTTCAGTTATAGCATGGAGAAATGTCTTGTTAATCTGCTAACTGAACTAGTATTTCTGATCAATGTTAAGGAGTTTTTCATTAAAACAAACTCTTATATCTTGCTGAAAAGTTACTTTTAAGTTATTTTTGTCTTACTTCAAGTGGACTAAAATGTTTGTATTAAAACTTGTTTTTTACAGTGTAGCAGTGTGTGTGGGTGCATCTGTGTGTAGTAACTCTTCCCTATGGAAGCTGCGGCACAGAAATCCCTGTGAGTGATTGTAGCTGGGAACTGAAAGTCCATTTATATTTACTTTTATGGTCTAGCGGGCTACCGTCTGTGAAACATCTGGCCCAGACTTGGGGCTGTTGGCTCCCAGTTAAAAGCACCGCAGGTTTGGGTTTCAGACCCACTTATGCCTCATCTTGTTACACCAGTGAGGAGCAGCGGATTTTCTCAACGTCTAAACGCTGTTTTCTGTTGTTGTTGTTGGGAACAGAGCGGCGCATCCCAAGGCCGGCCCGCCCGCCCGCCGCCGCTCTGTGATGGGCTGTAAATTGGGCCGGTGCGCCAGCTGAGCGGGGATATTTCTGGCCACCAGCCAGATTATTGAAGCCTTTCTGAGCTCCAGAGAGACGCAGGGAGAGACAAGCACACCCAAATTTAACATCTGAGACAGAGGTGGAACCACAGCTGATCCCAAACTGGAGGCCCAACCATGAGGGGACAGCCTGCCCTCCTTTTACAGATCTCAGTCTGTTTTCATGCTTAAATCTTTTTTTTTTCTCACGTTTTATTGCATGTTTACACAAGAGTAAATAAATAAAATAAAATAAAACCATGAGAGTAAAATTTTATGAGAATGCAGTCAGAATATTTAGACAATAAAGTCAGAATATTTAAATAAATAAGGTAAAAAATGTAGAGATTAAAGTCATAATATTTGGAGAATAAAGTTATAATAAACTTATGATATTTGGAGACATAAAGCCATGGGAATAAAGTAGAAATAATACAAAGATAAAGTGATAATAATATGAAAATAAAGCTGAGTAATCTTTCAGTACATGCTTTGTTTTTTAATCTGAATTAAAGTTATTCTTTGTTTCTTAGCTTCCTTTTCTCCTTAGCATTACAAAAATAGCTCCACTTTACAGAAGGTCATCAAAAGAGACTTTAAAACACATTTCATCTCAGATATTCATAGACGGAGTGTTTAATTTATGGCTTTGAATGAGCCTTTATGTGCCGAGCTTCGGCGGGTATTATTGGATCTCTGGCTGTAATCTCAGCAGCTTCGTCAGCTTTGAAGGAAACGCGGCGCCATGAAGGGCAGGTGCAACCGCAGTCATTATGCAAATATCTGCTTTGTGTTTGCAGCTCCGTCAAAACAAACACACTCAGGTTTGTGGAGTTTGTTTGTCAGCTGGTTGGAGAAACTCCACTTCAAACTCCCAAAGCTTCCAGAGCTGCTGCCAATTACCAGCGCTGAGTTTAACCCGGGCCTCAAAACATAAAAAAAAAAAAAATCAACTGCAAAAACACAAAATATTACCAAGTTACTGGAGTCTAGTTTCTAGTGCAAATATCGAAATATCAAAGGCCTGTCACAATATAATTTATCCCTGAATTTATTGCAATGTTATATATAATGATAATGACATAATAATAATAATGTAAGAACACATTATCAAAGATCAATAAACTTTAAATTCTAGTAAGTTTCTAACTGGATGGCAGTTCAAATGTCAAAAATAAATGAACAAAACAGCAGAAACAACAAATAAAATGAATAATGAAGTCTCTGTAAATAAAACTGTCCTTCAAATAAACAGCGAGTCGAGACCAAAACTCCACACTGAAGACTTTGGTCATTACATTTCTGGTAGAAAGAGAGAAAAACCTATTTATTCATCATGCTGTTAAATCATTTACTGGTTATTGCACAGGCCTACAAATATATAAGTCCACAGGAAATAAGACAAAGGTAACTCATAAGTAACTTTTCTGCATGTATAGTTTACTCCCAGATTATGTCGGGAAAATGAGTGGAGCCTAGTACTTTTATTGAATCAATATTAAGTGTTATTTGACTCAAAACAAGCTCCTATATTTTGCTGAAAAGTTACCTGTAAGTTGGTTTTGTCTTATTTCAGGTGTACTAAGATAAAGCAAACCAAAATACTTGGTTATATTTGGTGTTTTTGCAGTTTTCAGAAGGAGTTTCTGTTTTTACAGCTGCCTCGTCCTTGTTAAACAGACCCCATGGCCTGCCCAGTGCTGAACCACCCAGTTTTAGTTTTAGTTTGTCGTTTGTTGGTTTAGTCCAGATTAATGGTGTGAATTTCACACTGAGCTGTGAAAACCACACAGGCTGCCAGTAAAACATGGGTAAAACCTGTTCCAGTTTTTAAAGTGATCCAGATGAAAAGCAGAGAGCTTTGCTTGTTTTCTGGTTGCTAATAGCATGTTTGCTAGCCTGCAGTTTTTTTCCTGCTGCTGTCAGAACTGTGAGAGTTGAAATGGGAAACTGACAGCTATACCTGGGTGAAAACCAGCAGGGCCGGGTACTTAATGGGTTTTCCTGCTTGTGTGTACTTGTTTAAAATCTCAACTGACATTAAGGCTTTCCTGTACGGAGATTTATCCCTCCAGGTTTCACTCTAAAAGTCAGTTTCAGTTCAAATCGACACTCGGCAACATTTCATTTGCTTTTCCTTTTTCATGACGGGTGAGTGTTGTTTCCTAAATGTTTAAGCTTTGATTTAAAACACGTGTTTGCTGCTTGACACGTTTTTTAGAAACAGACGTTTGATATTTTATTTTGTCTGTGACAAAATTGTAAGCAGTTTTTTCTGGAAAAGTAAAAAATAAAAAATAAATTGTGAGACAATTTGTTATAAAGAGACAGTTGGCATTTAAATCACATTCAGGCACGGGAACTTGCAACCGTTTTGGTTGTTTTAGATCCGACACATGGCTGCATGTTCACACAGTGCAAAAGCTGGAGAAAAAGTTTCCAGAGCAAATATCTTATTACACTTAAAACAAAACAAAGGTAACTTAAAAGTAACTTTTCAGCAGGATGAGTAAATAATTCATTTAGATTCATTAAGATTTTCTAAGTGAAATAATCTGCCAGTGAATGTAGCACTTTATCATAAATTTTAAATGATTATTGATTTAAAACAAGCTCCTATTTTATGCTGAAAAGTTACTAAAGTTAGCTACTTCTTAATTCAAGTGTACTAATATCTTTGCACTAAAATAGACTGAAAATCTTGGTAATATTTATCTTTTTGCAGTGTGGGTATGATCCAGAGTTAAAGATATACCAGTCTGAATTTTCTACTCAAACTTTCACTTCGACTCTATTTCCTCATTCAGAATTATAAAATAGGAAGATATAAGTATCAAAAAGTTAATTTTATTTTTCTTTGCCTTCCTGTATTGAGCTGTCAAAAACTACCTGGTTCAATTCGAGACCAAAGTTGCAACATTTGTTACATTTTCAGCTGCTGCATTTCACTTTCACTGTTCTGCGTCAAACAATCCAAACCCTTTGAAAAACCTGTTCCCCTCCTCACCTGTGGGGGCGCTGCAGCATCAACCACTGAAGGAAATGAAACGACTTGCTTCTGTAAACAGAAATGGAGTAACGTCAGATTTAACGACTGTAGGATTTCTCTTTGGCTTTTGGTAAAAGACAACGATGCATTTCTCCTGCTAGCGCTATGCTAACTCGTTTGTTTTGGCTGTATTTTCCCAGAATGCCCTGCGCTATTGACCTATGTGCTAGTACTTTCTCATCAATATTAAGAAATTATTGACTTGAAACAAGCTTCTGTATTTTGCTGAAAAATTACTTGTAAGTTAGTTTTGTCTTATTTCAAATGTATTAAGAGCTTGACACTAAAATTAGATTGAAAATACTTGGTAAGATTTTATTTTTGCAGTGTAAAAATCAATTTTATTCCAATCAACAGTTGATTTATTTCCTCATTCCTTGTTATTTCTGATGCTGTTAGTTTTTCATTGGATTTGGAGAATGAAAATGATATTACCACATTTATATTTAATATAAATTCACAAAACTGTTATTGTCAACGAAAAAAAATGGCCAAAGATTGTTTGAAAATTAACAATTTAGAGTATGTAAGGAATAAAGAGTGTTTCAGTGGAGAGTGCGTGGGAAAATCCCAAGTTTAGTCACCAGGTCAGAGCTGGGATGATCACATGTTGAACCGATAAGAGAAGAGCAACTTTAGAAAAAGAGAAAAAGTGAATCATTTGCTGCATTTTTTGATCTCTGGGAAAAAACTGGTGCACCTGCAGCAGTGGGTGAAATAACAGGCTGAATGGAGAAACTTCCCGTGTTTGACCCTGGGGTTTGGTTTTCTCTATGCAGTGAAAAAGAGCATTGCCACTGGCTGCAGATGCACTCAGTGTTCCTGTTTTTTAGCAGAAAGTCATCTGCAGCTGATCAGC